GTAGCAATTACCCTTGACCTAGCTAGATCATAATAACATAAGTGCCGGCCGGCAGTGAGACTCGACGTATTTTGCTGTTATTTTACTCTTGGTCAACCCTTGTCCCCCCTAAAAACTTTTTATAATGTAGCATTCCAGTTACAAATAATGTTTCTCTTTGTATTTACTGACACACAAATGTACCCAAGATTGACACATCGCAGACTGTTGAAAATACACTGTTAATTTAGCTACTCGGTATATATGTGCATTGGAAAAGGTCCGCCTGCTTTCTTTTCCTATTCAAACAAGATGGTTTAGAGAAAGGCAAAGAGTTCGGAGAGTTACTTCGATTTGTTGTTGTTGTTTGTCCCATACAAATAGCATCCATACCATAGCCATATTGTGAGTAGCAGGGGTTGTTGTTTTGACCATTCTTGCCAGGTTATGACAGAATCCATTCTCAACGATATTGCTATTAGTCCGTGCTGCAACAAAACCACTGCTAGGGTTGTTAGCAATTGCTATACAACATATTTCTTTTAAGTCTAATATCATAGAGCTTATGTCAAACCTGGCTTTGTCGGAAAGTTTCATCTCTTATATCACATGACTTGTGCAGGGGATTGACTTCCTGTTTGTTTGTTTGTTTATGCACACATTAATTTGGCTAGCCATTCTACTGACTATCTCATGCCTCTGCCCCTGAGAGTTTCCACCCTTTTCGTTTTCTATACATTTAAGCTGTTGCTTTTCATTTGCATAATCGAACACATGCTGTTTATCCCAACTGATAACCAGAGCTGTCCATCAGATAAATAAACATTGACTAAGCAATAAACTAATGCATGTACAGAGGTGTTATATAATGCCTGCTGCCCCCTGTGATACAGGTTTGTAATTGACAATTGATTAAACACTGCAATTGCGCGGGTATAAGACCACTCTTGTAACAGATTATATTTGGACGGCACTAATTACCAAAATGCAGAAAATGATCTTTTGCCCATTTGTTGATTAACTAATACATATCATAATATACATTGTACTGACCTTTTTATAGCCTTTGCCTTTTAGAATTAGAAATACATACATGCCGCGAGTCGCACCGGATAGACCTTCTGATATAGTTGTTCATGCTCAAATGGACAACAGTGAATGTAGGTACATATCTATATTTATACATAGTACAGTTCATTGAATATAAACATGTGTATTATTATTATTGACATTTTTTTTTCATGCTAAATGTCTTAAGAATTAAAGATTAAATTTATTGACGTATTTATTTTAAGGTCGATTGACAGTTGTCGCGAATCTATTGTATGATGAATTAGAAATTGATCAATTCAAGCAAGTGCTATCTGATAATAAATTACAAGGAGGTTGTAAATTTGGTGGTGATCACTTTTATATTAAACCGACAATTTATATTGTAAGTATCGATACATTTTTTAAATGATTGTTATTTTTTGCATTGAGTTTCGTTCATAAGAATCAAACAACGATAGTGTTGTTATTATATTGAAATTAGTAGTCACATTAGTGATTATTAGTAAATTATTCTCAACACATATAAGAACACCATCGCAGATCGAAGTGATATGAGAAATAATTACAATTATCTTACAGCACGCGGAAAAACATATTCCGTATTTGACGTTTCCTGAAGATGGAATCTGATATTTAATGTACATTGAATTATATTTAATCAAATTTCAGGGTCGTTTTTAGCAATGATACTACAAAGGCTACAAGTAATGACGATGTGATAATTGAATATTCGAGTGTTGAAAATGCCATTCGAATTGTTTTTAGTCACTTTACTTCTGATAAAGTAGACAAAGGAATAGAGTGCTATTTCGCAAATATTCCTTACGTTATCCGAAATATCCACTTGACAACCTTGCACGCATTATATGATATAGATGTGTTAGGTGAGTGTCTACTTCTAATCAATTAGCAAGCATGTGTGTTAACACCCTGGGATTTATTAACTTTACTTTATTCAGAATTATTATAACTAAACTGACTATGTTGAGTTTATGTAATAGTAATAATATTTTAGAGTCATATCGCGTATTGTACATATCGTAGGATCTTTTTATATGTATCTTTCTGCAAAAAAATATCTTTGAATTTCCTTCGCATTTCTATGGCCGGTTTGTGTATTCAAAACAGTCAAAATACGGGCTTAGTGTTTGTTGATAATGAGACTATACTTTGGTATTGCTCAAATCACAATAAATACTACTATACTCACAATCCATATGTCTGTGCTGCATACGTTTCTATTTTGTCATGTGTTGTTACAGGTTGCCCTGAAGGGAAATTTGGCGGAAATTGTCAATATGAGTGTTATTGCCAGAACGGAGCAACATGCCATATCTTCAATGGTGCATGCAAATGTACCACTGGATGGAAGGGAATAGCCTGTGATATAGGTATGAATTTATGTATAATTAAAGGGGAACCAATCAATCCTATTGATTGCACCAAGTGCTCACGGGTTATTAACTCTGCCTGTGTCCACTAAGTAAATGAATACTTATCTTACCCTCTGTGCCACTCATCCGCAAAACAACAACTGATATAAACATCCTGTGAACAGATTACAATTTGTTTAAATATAACAAAACAATTGTATTTCAAACCAAGTACACGTTAGTCTGTTCGGCATTTGCGTCAAACACAGAGCTAGCTCCATATGCCATGATTTTAAACATCGTGCGCTCCGTAATACTTACATCGTCGGGCAAAAGTGACGCCCACTAGTAAATGCAGCAGCCCACCGGATACTGAAGACAAAACCAGATTGTTGCTTAACGGTCGCGAAGAAAAACCGCCGACTTTTCTGTTTCCGTTGCGTCGGTCTATTGACGGTACTGATTTCGTATACAGTAAAACTGAGAACGAACCTTCCTAGGCACATTCCGTATACACACTATTTCACCGGACTGCTAACATAACGAGTGGGAAAATACCTCTGGTCAAGGACTTCGGTTGTATGTGCAAGGGTTGTATCGGATTGTATCTCGGCGGGGTTGACTTTACAAACAAAATCAATTGAGCGGCGAGAAAGATATGAGCGTTCAATTTTAACATCCCATCTATAACTAAAGCGTTGAATTATATACCGCGCCATGGAACACGACTACTGGTTGTGCTAGATAAAACGAATGGGCACATCTTGTTGAGTCGTTTGCAAACTTGTTTTGATAGAACGATTTTAACGATTGTACACATAAGTTGAAAACCATCGCTAACTTTCCTTACGTAAGGCGTATATTTTCCTGGCAAGTGAAAATGACTAAAGTGAAAAAAAATCAAACAGATCTTATTTTCTTTCGGGCTCTCGAATATTATATTAAGAAACGACATTACACGTGTGTATAACTTATTCAAATGCATTGTAATTTTAGGTAACATAGTGTTGAGTTACGAGTCTGGCACAAAGCCACTGAATGGTTTTCAAATATCACTGTCTTGAATCACCATGCCTCAAGGTTACCGATGGTTACAAAAACTGCTCAACTATAATGCTGTTTGTAAACCAACATGCTTTGTAGATTGAATAAACATCTAGGAGATTTACATTGTCGTTTACTCAAACTGCCAGTCATTCTGCCTACATTAGCCTACATTTGAAACTGATGATTTTTACTTGTAGCTGCACGTTTCAACCGAAAACAACAACATTTATATGTTAAAAGCCCAACCAGATGATTGTAATCGCTAGCGTACTTATTCATGCCCCCGAAGAAATGTATTTGGAATCACAGCTTAATCTCAAAACATTGTAAATGGCACATTTCCCGGAGCTCTGGCAACGAGGCTTGGTTCGGATTAGCATACTTATTGCGATGGACATCTTGCCCTATTTATAGTATTAGTTCTCCTTTAAAGATTATGTATTTTTAAAGAAATAGTGTCGAATATATTGTTATAACAGGCATGTATCTTTATTGTAGTTACCTCCAGTGTAGTGTTTACTGCACCTATTTTCTACTCATATGTCGGCCGAGCCTTATCATTCACCTGCAATTTCAACCACCTAAACGCCTCTGATATTTATGATAGAAGCTTGCGTCACAATGACAATATTCTAGCAGAAAATACAGTGCATTTCAATAATGATACACGAATTCATATCTGGGATGAATATGACAGGTAAGATTGAAGAGAAAAAATATTGTCTTATATATCTATTATCATTATACCACTCTTGGTCATGTGACCCATTATCCGACCGTTGGTGGACGTCTACTCATCATTTTTGAGAAAGTTGTCAAAATCACATGACAATTGGTTTATTGTGTAAAACCACGAAGATAATGCCAATGGCACCAGTAAATATCATTTTTTGTGTGTTACAGTGACATGTGTTGAGAAACTTGTCCTAATATTTTCCAAAAATAGCTATTTTTAGAACAATTCCATAGAGCGCTGATGTAAAGCATAAATTGCATTTTTTGTGATTTTTAAAATCCACATTTGTGAAAAATTCAGAAAAACCATAAGCCAATGTCACCAGACTACAATTTGAGATATGGCATAATATCTCTGCCATAGGAATCTATGGTAAAAACACTATAAATCTGCCAAAATGGCCGCTATCCACTAAAATACATATATACAAAATTAACCTGGTGATCCCCAATGTATATCTACATGGTGATCGCATGACAGAGATTTTTCTAACACCACACGAGCGACTTTTCGAAACTGACTGTTTTAATTATTTCACCATTGAAGTTAACCAGAAAATCTTCACCAACATTATTTAGCCTTTGAAAAGATCCAACGAGCATAGATTTTGTTTTAGATGTGTTGATTGACATGTAATTGTAATTAACCCAACGCAAAATTGGCAAACATCATCATTAATGCACTTTGTGACTACATTGATACTTGTTCCAGACGATAACAGAATGTTATCGTCCGTATACATATCAATGGAACTATTTTCAAGACATAATGGTAGGTCATTAATGAATAGAATAAGTAATAATGGTCTTAAGATTGATCCCTACGGTACACTGCGGTACACTTACCCATCAAATACACAACTTGCTTTCTGTCAGTTAAATAAGAATTAAACCATATAAGGGAGACAGAGGAAATGCCATTAATAGAGAGCTTATTCAATAATATGTGTTTATCTACTATATCAAACGCCTTGCTTCGGTCGTGGAAAAGCAAACGACACAATAAGTCATCATCCATATTTCTAAGTAATGCATCACATAGCTTAGTCATAGTTGTATGGCAAGAATGGGATTTCCGAAAACCTGACTGCGATTTAGAAATTAAATCATGACTATTTAAATAATGGTATAAGTGGCTTTTTTCGAGATTATTGGGAGCAACAAAATTGGATGAAAATTACATAACTCACGGGATCCATCCTTGTGTAATGGAATAACATGTCTAGAAAAATACTTGATGAAATACTGAGGTTGAATAAATAAACAATATTTCCACAAATGAGCAAAAATACGCAAAAGTTCAGATGATGTATTGTCAAGGCCAGCTGACTTGGAATTTGATAGTGGGAGCAGTTGGTTCTTCACGAACTGGCATGTGACTGGCGGTATAACAAATGGTCGAGTATTGGTCAATTTGGGTTCAATAAATTTCCGTAAATTCAGCTACTCTGGCTGTCTTAATTTGTTCACACGTCTACAAACAAATGGGGCATGGGAATCGCAAATATATTAAAAATAGAATTCCATGTCAAATGCGCAATTAGTATCAGTAATATTGTGTACGGAAAGTAGAGACATGTTCCGAAAGTCTGCCAAAAATAGAGACTCAACTAACACTTTGTAATTTCTATAGCGAATAGAAACATGATTGTTTGATTAGAGGAAGGAACGGAAATATGGTTATGGTCCGAAATACCCAAATTATGAATGAGAGCCAAATTAACATTTTCATTATAATTTACATAAACGTGGTTCAGACATTTACCGGACGCAGGCCTCGTAACACCATTACTAATTTGAGAAAAGCCTAAACCAACTAAAAATTAAAAACAAGTAGTGCGTACAATTAGATAGAACATCATAATTAAAGTCACCAAAAATGTACATTTCTTTGCCTTCTAGGTAAGCGTTCTCAATGTTATGAGCTAACAGCACATCAATATTATGAACAGTACAGTTTTTTTACAATCAGCAGTTACTATCAAATTAAGCTCGTCAATGTTGTTAGATAAATGGTTAATATTAATAAACCCAAGCCTCGGACCATTCTGGAGGTTTAAATTATTCGCGAAATTGCAGTTATCCTAAACACTACAACTGGAGTAGCTAGAAACGGCCGCCTCATCCTGACCGGTTCCCTAAAAGTTACAGTATTTCTGCTTTTGACTCGTTTTCCCACAACTCCAACATCAAATACCTGTTGCTTGATGACACACGCAACATGGATGGCCTGCCTCGCCGCAATTTTAGCACCTTACATCGCTATTGTGCTGCTGTCTATTGAAATTACACACGTGGAAAGTATGACCAAATCTACCACAGCTGTAGCACGTTACGCGTCGTCTGCTACTAGTGTGGGTATGAGGATTCAAATTATCCCCAAGGATACTTCTACGATGAGCGCTATTACGTCGGTAACATCTTCCATCAACCTTCCTGTACCCCGGGCATTCAAATGAACCTTGTCACTGTATAGGTGTTCTGTTCTGTTGCACAAATGTATTTCTAAAAGCTTCCAGATCCTTCAGTAGAGCATTGATTTTAACTGGGGGTACTGGTATTGTATTATCTGCGTGGCCATCGACAGAGGTAGTTCCGATGCTATTGGTAATAATAACGCCATAGGTGCGTGCGGTACTTCCAGAAAGGTGACTGAATCTACATTGATTACAAGATACACAGCTAATCAGCTTTACTCAAGTTAACTAACCTTGGATCGTCATAACCACAATCATCACACTGCATTGTGCGATGAATCAATCGAGGGGAACTCGAAAGAATAGACTGGTGTTGTGCGGATTGTACGTTATGAATTACTTTCCACAATCCATAGTTATCAAACCACATGAGCCATGAGCCATGAATTACTTTCCACAATCCATAGTTATCAAAACATATATAAACCCGAAAGCTCAGACAATCAGAGATCGTTAGTGTGTATCATCAAACGACGTATCCTGTCTAGAAATACGCTAATTATGCGGGTGATACGTTTTATTCTGTGTGTCATTTAAGAAAATTTGCCTTTTTGAAACAGTACTGATCTAATGAATTTCTGACTAACATCCTGAAAACACTTTATGAACGGTGTGTACGTCATTACATCTGTTGCTATTATCACTGCCATATACAAGCTTATGTTGTTCATGCTTTTATATGGTAGATTACCTAATAACAATGTTCAGGGCCAATGAATGTACTATCCTTGCTATTGGGAAATTAAAACAGCTTTTTATGATTTTTTAATTTCTCAATTGTAGTGTTCTAACTTTTGTTGATTTTTTTGATTGTTTGCTCCAATTTGCAGAGGATTTGGATTAGAATTTTACTTCGTTGCTGACCAACATGCTGGAACATATGAATGTAATGTGGTTGACATATATGGTGATGTGTACAAAGATTACACGACTCTGATAGTGACAGGTAAGACATTTTTCAGTTTCGGGCATAATGGAGGTTTTCTAGTGCCTGATATAAGATTCATACTTACCAAGATGCGCATCACAAATTACACATTTTATTTTTAGGATGCGAAAATAATCGTTGGGGTGCAATATGTGATAAAACTTGTAATTGTGAAAATGGTGGTAACTGCAGTCGTAAAGATGGTTGTATTTGTAGCCAGGGATGGAATGGAACATACTGCACAGAAGGTGAGTCTGAGTAACGTTGGTGAGATGTTTGACTCGCTGAAAGCAATCGAAGTTTAATACAACATTTGCTCAACGATTTTACTGTTATAGAGCAAATATTTGATTGGTTTTGTGTTCTGCGGGAAATAAACTCAATAAAACATAACTAACCTAATCACAGGTCCATGCGCCAGCTAACCCCTTATTTGTTTTCATTATGCAGATGTAGGAGCACCGGAATTTGTGTTTTGTCCACAGAACATCACGGCATTATTAGATGAAGGGTCGTCGTCTACTAAAGTTACGTGGCCAAAGATTGAAGTCAATGACAATTCAGGACTGTTTAATCTCACATCAAACCATCAAGCAGGAGATAGATTCATCATAGGAGTACACAACATATTGCACACAGCAGTAGATAATCATGGAAATACGGCCATATGTAGATTCAGTGTAAATGTGGACGCTGCCAATATTGGAACAAAGAAAACTGTTATTGTATCATTAATTGTGACTTCACTACTTCTGGTTGTGTTAGTTACTTTTGTTTTTGTTGTATGTCTCCGATACAGAAAGAATAGACTAATGTATCCATTACTATTTGGTAGATCTGAAGACGATGGTGAGTACATACTTAGTCCTATTTTGATGAACAGTGTATAATTTAATGTCCTCCGTTCAACGTCATCATTAGTATATTTTTTTACAGATGATAAGGAATGGGATGCATTTGTAGCTGTAAAAGGGGGTACGGAAGAGGAAACATTTGTAAATAAAGAATTATTGTACGAATTAGAGGAAAATAATGATTATAAAGTAAACATTCATCATAGAGATTTCACTGCAGGAATACGTAAGTAAATAGCATACCTTGTCTAATGATAATCATTCAATTCAATATTAAGGTAGCCAGACTATTATTTGCATACTTGTTTTCATCTTCTAATTGTCACTAAATGACTATAACAAGAGCACGGAACGTATATATTTGTGGAATCGCCAGACTTCAAGTTTTTCAAAAGTGTGTTTTCATGCCCGTATCTGCATTCTACGACGAGTTACTCAATCAAACGTAAACAATTACTTTCTCAGTAAAAAAAATAATTACGCATTTGAGCTGGTGATAAGAAGTTTGTTTTCACTTTTCCAAGTTGTTCAATAGTCTGGTAAATTTAATGTGTCTGGTCAGTTTTAATCAAGCAACGCATTTTAAAAAATAGTGGGCTGAATTTTAATTTAAGTTTTAGTCGCATTGCCCCAACAAAAATAAAGGAATGGGATAGCTATAATTCGATAAAATCGGCAAATGAGAAGAAATCAATGATTGTTTTCAGTGGCTGTGTGACCTTGTGTCTGACACATTCATATGCAAATGCTAATCTGTGAAACAAACAGGGGCGGAGACCAACCAGTAGCACATGATAACTTTATGGATTACATGAGATGGCGAAAGAGTGTAAGACCCCCAAATGCAGACAGGCAGCAGTCAATTCTGCTAAAGCATCGAACAAATCAAGTAGTCGGCAATGTAGACCCAAGGCTCGGACAGTCACGGCCCAATTGAATCGATTGTTCCGGGCTTAGACTACTATAGCATGGACCATCGATGTACTGACACGTCTATGACTATAGATAGTAATCTGATTTCAGAGTGAGAACAATAGCATTCATACTTCTCAGATCTTTGCAATACTTACAACCAGGTGTGTGTGTTTGTGTGTGTGTGTGATTAGAACTTCTAGTATGTCGGACCTTTCATGACGTAGTAGGCAGCAAAAAAATAATCATGAATCATGAAGGTCATAATTTTGCATTAGTGTTTTTGGCTGAACTCAATATGGAAGAACCCCATTTCCTTTCAATTGTTTGCGCTCACTGGAACGAAAGGGATGCAAATATCAACATAATAATTGGTGGCGAATAACCATTGCATTGTCTTGAGTTACTCTTTGAAACTTATAAGCACACAGATTAAACCTGTGTTGTTGATTTTGGAAACCCTACCGAGGCTGCCTTGCTTCCCTACAGAAATAGCTGCATTTTAAGCAACTTACAGGACATTCTATGTTATGTTGAATTTATCATATGAAAGTTTATAGTGCATTTCATCAATAGATAAATTAATTTGAAAATCGTAATTTTCACCACAAATAATAGTCTCGCTACCTTTATAAATAGTGTCACACTTTCCGCATCTATGACCGAGAGGAAACATAATATTTTAAAAGGGTATATATATCAGAATAAATGGATTGTACTTACTTTGTTACTTAATTGCATATTTCAGCTATCGTTGAAAATATACTTTACGCGATTAAGAATAGTCGACGGACTATATTGATATTATCTCCAGAGTTTGTCCGAAGTGAATGGTGCAATTATGAAGTTGACCAAGCTAAATTTGAAATGTTCGGATTACGTCATAAATTGATTCCAATAATGTTCGAAGACGTGACACACATGGGTGACGAAATGTCTGCTACTTTGAAATCCATTTTAGACTCCATAAACTATCTTACGTGGCTCAGAAATGGGTCTGAAAAAGAGAAAAAAGAGTTTTGGAAAAGATTAATTAGCGCAATGCCACGAAAACATCAAGAACAAGATTTACAACAACGAATCGGCTTTATATCATGTATAGTAAATCGCATATGGAATCGTAAACTGTATCTCAGGCTTCCTAATGACGATGGGTGTGAGGAAATAGACCTAGAAATAATGTGAGTGTTAACGTATGTCAAACATAACATGATGATCTCAACATTCCATATATGTGTATATCATCAATGTGTCGTCAACATTTTGTTTAAATGTTTGCATTTTATGTTATTTTCAGAATAAAGTGTGAATTTGCAAATAATAAACATGGGTGTAATTGTTGCATCTGTACAAATATAATAAATATAACCATACTTCAGTCACGTGCATATAGAATTGTAAGTTTCACTCCACAATTAAAATGTGTATGAATGCTCGGAAGATCACCTACTCATGTAATATATTTTGTTTTGTTTTTTTATTATGGTTGAGAGTTTAGGGAAGCCAGCTGATTATAAAATTATAGTTCGGAATTAGTAGTCGACTGGGTTTTTTTGAATAAGCTGACAATTTTAATACAATACAACAAAGTGCTGTGACGTCTGTGAATATAATTTGACTCACACAAAATGCATCTTTATTCATGTTTTAGTTTAAGCATCCATCCGCTACCAGACCATGATCCATTGACACTTAATTATTCTAGCATAAATAATGCTTGACTCCACTTCAATGTTCTTGTGTACTAAATCTTGTTATATCATAGATGAACGTCGTTAATAGAGAGCTGTATTACCAGACCAAAAGGCGGCAACCAACCATTTAATGAAATAAATGTAGTGTCCGATAATACTGCTTATTTAGATTGTACCTGTCAGCAATCTGGAAATAAATGAGTTCAAATGTATAAATTTGTTCTAGTGCATGTGGACACATTCAGCGCATATATTTCTCATCCAAGTTAAAATCATTATGACCCTTGTAGTATGACCATTTGCAGCATATTTAGCAGTCTAAAGTCCACCAAGTTATGTTAGCAGTGATTATAAACCTCAGCTTTCACAATGCGATGCTATCCCGCCTTGTACTTTAAAGCCATGTACCACATAAATTGCATCACTTCCGGTCACCGCATATAGCTGCATTATTCTCTAGCATGTTTTTCCGACGAGTTCTTTAAATGACCATTGTACAGTGAATGCCAGCTATAATTAAATCCCTCGAGTAGAATTGCACCACACTAAAGCACCTCATATTAACCGTCCATTCAAAACAGCATGTAATGTATGTGTACTTAAAGTGACGAAATTAACATTCACTAGCCAAACACTCAAAACGTGCAAATATACAACCATAAAGCAAACTGCTCATTGGATACAGATCACTATACACATTAAAACGAATGTAATGTTCACACTCGTCATAAGTCATTAGGATAATTAATTGACATGTTTAAATCTGCTATTTTGTCACTGTACGGGGTACGTTGTTTCAGAAAACAATTGTGAATTGACTAATAATAACCCTAGAAAGTGGGCACTCAAAATTGTGGTAGCATATCACACCTAATCACACTTAGTATATGTTTTGAAATTATACCCAAAGAGATTCATTGCAAACACATTACCCTTCACAGTTCTTTCGTTAAATTAAAAAAAACTCATGAATGTTTGCAAGATATTGCAATACCAGTCTCATAACAAAATTCATTATATTTGTTTACCCTTTGGCTGAAAATGAGTTAGTTAGTTGATTTTAACTGCGACACCTTTTCACCTTTGGGTAGAGTGTCCACGTTGTACTAACCCACCCTAAGAAACGTTATTGACTTGACATTGCAGAAAAAACATGTGAACGCCGTTAAATAGAATTTTTTGAAATTATGATTTTAATTATATATTTGGTTTTTATGCTAGACAAAACAAGATAAAAAACGTAATAAAAGTATTTGAAAAATGCTACATTAAATAAGCTAAACTTAAAAGATAGTGGTTGTCGCGCCACGCATATGTGGGTGGCATTTGTGTTGATAATTTTGTTGATGATTTTCCCACGATCCAATGGGCAAATGAAAATCACGTGTACGAGATTTAACCTGGATGCGACGTGCAAGTAATTACGCTGATGACACCTTCGATACCTTCAATCAAAAAAGAAATTATTTAGTTAAAACTGGTTGGTAACGTTTCAGTGTGTTGTCGTTGCTCTGCGAAACTGCCGAAGTCGCCAACTTTGTTTATATGAGACCCATGTCTCACGCATGCGTGGCGCGACGATCACCGCCCTTCAATTTTTTGTCTTTGAAAGGTGATCACAAAGGTCACTGTAGATTGTATATTTTAATAAATTTTTCGTTTTTTTTTTCCAAAACCTATTTGATACTCGCATATTTGTTTATACATTAAATTACAGATTTGCGCCAAAAATATGTACTCACAAGATTAACACACAACTTCGGGTATAAATAAAACATGCATTCACGGCGTTGGTGGCACTATTAACATATATCACTCACGTCTCATCACGACTCCTGTTGACAACATTCGTAGTCCCGTGACTTGACGCAATCAAACTTCCCAACTGAAATGCTTCTAAATATATGCAAAGTCTCTGCAGAGGGATTTCCCTTATTACTTCAGACCTTGGACTATGTGCAATGCGCATGACTAGCGTGGTTCCCATTCATAAGGCTTTGCACTTTCGCATCAGATCACATGATTATTTTACTATTACCTCTTTCTTGCAGCCATATATGACTGATGTGTCTATGTCGCATCGCTTCAACAAGATAATTTGGAATCAGTGAAGATGATGTTTTCTTTGGCGTGTTTCTGTTCCTTTATTTATTTGTGTCATGGCAATCTGGAAGGTAATTTTAAACATACCATTGTTGGCAAAGCGTATTTAGCTCCATTCGACGTTCAACTGTGAAAGGCGTATCAGATTTTGTCACATTCCATAAGCACTACGCATGGTAATACATTCAAACTACATGTACATTATTACGCTGCGGGTTTTACAGTTAATCAACACAAAATACGTAATGTGATGTGGTGTACGTTTTCCTTACTAGACACTAACCGTTCAACCATATATTACAGAATACACATATCTGAGGTGAGTTCATAGTAACATTTTTTAAACATCTATAAACTACATAAATATCGACTTGTTTTATTACGTAATATAATAATAATTGTAAAATTGTAGCTTATGTTTATTCAGTCTGATTTAAATCCGATATAGGTATGAGGCTCCAATATTTATTTATATTTTTGTTTGAATATGTCAATATTTTGCTTTTACTTGCCGTTAATCAGTTCTTAAAAAAATGTGTCTCAGTCGCCTCCAACTACATCTGACTCAATGCGTATGCAAATCTCGACAAGTATAGTGCGGCTTAGGAAAGCAGCTGTCTGACTTTGCGCCAGACTCATCGTCCTTGGTTATTTCAAGATGGCTGCAAGTAATGTTAGAACCAATGTGAAATCAAAAGAGGATTCCAAATTTTTACAATAATTTAATTATATTTTGTGAGCAATCACAATTGATGTATATAATTCATTTGTGTACATTTCCCTTTTAGCATAATTTCATAATACGTACCTACACTTATTATTATGTAATTATTTTTAAATTATGCTAATTTATTCATGACTTGGCAGTTTCGATGCTCATGAATATTCATGAATATATTTGTGAATCAATACATTCTAAAAAGGGCGACGTATTATTTATAGGGGAAAGAGTTAGAAAGGGGGAATTAGCAATCCTGAGGAGCCAATACAAAAGCAGGGACCCATTTGGAGAGCAGAAATGATCCACGTGTCTGTTGTGACTTGCAGCTTTTAACCCTGCTCGAACTTCGATGACAGCTGTGACTGACGGCTTCCATGTGAGGTAGCACTTCTTGGTAGGAGAGGAGATGTGTTCCCAATAACATTTAAAAATTCCATGAACCAGAGGATTGAACTTACGATTTCTCACATTGCTGACAGTGTACAAATCCACTGAACCATGTGGGTAGCCACAAAAATAAAGACACGTTCCTGTCAATAATAATACTTTCTTGTACACTGTCTGCTGGTAAAGATGTAAAATGATTACACAAGTCGCTATTAAATAATTTCCACCATTACAAGTTGTTAAATTCAGGGTATGAATTACATTGATTTAGACAAGTCGCATTTAATTGATTTCCGCTATTACAAGTTGTTAAATTCAGGGTATGAATTACATTGATTTAGACAAGTCGCATTTAATTGATTTCCGCTATTAAAAGTTGTTAAATTGTAAAAATAAATGTGTGGACAAATATTTGGGACTTACTTTGGTGTAGACAAGTTGCGTTTAATTAATTTCCAACATTGCAAATAGTTAAATTATGAAAATAAATGAGACATATTTTGGTGTAAACACTCGTTATTATTATCCACCATTACAAGTTGTTAAATTGTGAGAATGAATGTATGGACAAATATTGACCATTATATTTGTGAGTAAATACCTGTTGTTTATTTATTTACCACCTCTACAAGGTTGTTAAATTGAGAGAATAAATGTGTTGACAAATATTTGATTCTTATTTGCATGTAAAGAACTCGTGTTTGATTAACTTCCACCAATGCAAGGTGTTAGAATATTGAAATAAATATACTGGTGTCATTGGATATTTGATTTAATTCTGAAACATTCTAAAAAAATATCAACTGTTGAATTCGAACCCTCAATCAACAAATCCACAGACACTGTATACATACCACAGCACCACAGAAGATATTCATCTGTTGCCTGAATTTTTTTGATACAAACGATTGCACGATTGTTTTGGTTTCGGTGAGTGTGTATCTGATATGATTCTAACCCTTGGCGTTTGTATTAGGCTTTTTTTCCAATTCCCTTGTTTGCTACGCTGTATATGCGACCACTTCTCCGTTTTATTGTGATTTTGTTAGTGTTTAATGATGTCTTCATCGCCCGTCACGTCATGACCCAGTTTTAATCACACGGCCATTTTGCAACGAAGTCCGTGAACCTTGGCGTGACCCCAGTGACGATATAATCGTTCTGTTCAACTTATAGGCTAGGATTTATTACCGTTATTATCATTATATTGTCACGTGATTTGTTCCACTTTATTTGTAATGTCGTTACTGGAATTTGTATATATCGGGCAAACGATCCCG